TACAAGACTGGGAAGAAAAAGTGAAATGAAATAATATTCAGTAATAGACAATTGGTTAAATAAATTATTCTACATCTTTCATTCCCTATTGGAGAAGGAATTTGGAGAGTAACTTGAAAGTAACCTATGACAAATGTAAATGTCATATCCAGTGATTAAATTTCCAGAAATCTTACCTAAAGGAATATTCATACAAGAACACAAGAATACATGTACAAAAATGTTCAGTAAAGAGGAATAAAAACCACATGATCATCTCAATAGATGCAGAGAAGGCATTTGACAAGATCCAACAGCCATTTATGATAAAAACTCTGAACAAAATGGGCATAGAAGGAAACTACCTCAACATAATAAAGGCCATATACGACAAACCCATAGCCAACATCATACTCAATGGGCAAAAACTGAACGCCATCCCCCTGAAAACAGGAACGAGACAAGGATGCCCTCTATCACCACTCTTATTTAACATAGTACTGGAGGTCCTGGCCAGAGCAATCAGGCAAGAAAAAGGAATAAAAGGAATCCAAATTGGGAGGGAAGAAGTGAAACTCTCGCTGTTTGCAGACGACATGATCTTATATATAGAAAACCCCAAAGAATCCATTGGAAAACTGTTAGAAGTAATCAACAACTACAGCAAAGTTGCAGGGTATAAAATCAATTTGCATAAATCAGTAGCATTTCTATACTCCAGTAATGAACCAACAGAAAAAGAACTCAAGAATACAATACCATTCACAATCGCAACAAAAAGAATAAAATACCTTGGGGTAAATTTAACTAAGGAAGTGAAGGACCTATATAATGAAAATTACAAGGCCTTTCTGAGAGAATTGGATGATGACATAAGGAGATGGAAAGACATTCCATGTACATGGATTGGAAGAATAAACATAGTTAAAATGTCCATTCTACCTAAAGCAATCTACAGATTCAACGCCATCCCAATCAGAATCCCAATGACATTCTTTACAGAATTAGAACAAAGAATCCTAAAATTCATATGGGGCAACAAAAGACCCCGAATTTCTAAAGCAATCCTGAGAAAAAAGAACAAAACGGGAGGCATCACAATCCCTGACTTCAAAACATACTACAAAGCTACAGTCATCAAAACAGCATGGTACCGGTACAAAAACAGGTGCACAGATCAACGGAACATAATTGAAAGCCCAGAAATAAAACCACACATCTATGGACAGCTTATCTTTGACAAAGGAGCTGAGGGCATACAATGGAGAAAAGAAAGTCTTTTCAACAAATGGTGCTGGGAAAACTGGAAAGCCACATGTAAAAGAATGAAAATTGACCATTCCTTTTCACCATTCACCAAAATAAACTCAAAATGGATTAAAGACCTAAAGGTGAGACATGAAACCATAAGGCTTCTGGAAGAAAACGTAGGCAGTACACTCTTTGACATCAGTATTAAAAGGATCTTTTCGGACACCATGCCTTCTCAGAGAAGGGAAACAATAGAAAGAATAAACAAATGGGACTTCATCAGATTAAAGAGCTTCTTCAAGGCAAACGAAAACAGGATTGAAACAAAAAAACAACCCACTAACTGGGAAAAAATATTTGCAAGTCATATATCTGACAAAGGCTTAATATCCTTAATATATAAAGAACTCTCACAACTCAACCACAAAACATCAAACAACCCAATCAAAAACTGGGCTGGAGACATGAACAGACATTTCTCCAAAGAAGATATACTGATGGCCAATAGGCACATGAAAAGATGCTCATCATCGCTGATCATCAGGGAAATGCAAATCAAAACTACACTAAGATATCACCTTACACCCGTTAGAATGACAAAAATATCTAAAACTAATAGCAACAAATGTTGGAGAGGTTGCGGAGAAAAAGGAACCCTCATACACTGCTGGTGGGAATGCAAGCTGGTGCAGCCACTATGGAAAACAGTATGGAGATTCCTCAAAAAACTAAAAATAGAACTACCATACCATCCAGCCATCCCACTACTGGGTATTTACCCAAAGAGCGTGAAGTCAGCAATCCCAAAAGTCCTGTGCACCCCAATGTTTATTGCAGCAGTCTTTACAATAGCCAAGACGTGGAAGCAACCTAAGTGCCCATCAACAGATGAATGGATAAAGAAGATGTGGTACATATATACAATGGAATACTACTCAGCTGCAAAACAGAACAAAATCATTCCATTTGCAATAACATGGATGGACCTTGAGAGAATTATGTTAAGTGAAATAAGCCAGCGAGAGAAAGATAATCTGTGTATGACTCCACTCATATGAGGAATTTAAAACTATGGACCAAGAACAGTTTAGTGGATACCAGGGGAAAGGTGGGGTGGGGGGTGGGCACAAAGGGTGAAGTGGTGCACCTACAACATGACTGACAAACATTAATGTACAATTGAAATTTCACAAGATTGTAACCTATCAATAACTCAATAAAAAAAAAAAGTCTCCTTGTGAAAAAAAAAAAACATGTTCAGTAAACATCTAACAGTGGAAAAGTGAGAGGAGCTGGCCCCGTGGCCAAGTGGTTACATTCGCGTGCTCCGCTTCAGCCCAGGGTTTCACCGGTTCGAATCCTGGGCACGGACATGGCACCACTCATCAAGCCACACTGAGGCGGCGTCCCACATGCCACAACTGGAAGGACCCACAACTGAAAATACACAACTATGTACTGGGGAGCTTTGGGGAGAAAAATGAAAAATAAAAAAATCTTTAAAAAAGAAAAAATGAGAACCACACATCTATGGACAAGTAATCTTCAACAAAGGAGCTGAGGGCCTACAATGGAGAAAAGAAAGTCTCTTCAACAAATGGTGCTGGGAAAACTGGAAAGCCACAAGTAAAAGAATGAAAATTGACCATTCTTTTTCACCATTCACAAAAATAAACTCAAAATGGATCAAAGACCTAAAGATTAGACCTGAAACAATAAGTCTTCTAGAAGAAAATATAGGCGGTACTCTCTTTGACATGAGTTTCAAAAGAATCTTTTCGGACACCATAACTCCTCAGACGAGGGAAACAATAGAAAGAATAAACAAATGGGACTTCATCAGACTAAAGAGCTTCTTCCAGGCAAGGGAAAACAGGATTGAAACAAAAAAACAACCCACTAGTTGGGAAAAAATATTTACAAGTTATTTATCCGACACAGGGTTAATCTCCATAATATATAAAGAACTCACACAGCTCAACAACAAAAAAATCAAACAACCTGATCAAAAAATGGGCAGGGGACATGAACAGACATTTCTCCAAAGAAGATATACGGATGGCCAATAGAGATATGAAAAGATGCTCATCATCACTAATCACCAGGGAAATGCAAATCAAAACTACACTAAGATATCACCTTACAACCATTAGAATGGCAAAAATACCCAAAACAAAAAGTGACAAATGTTGGAGGTGTTGTGGAGAAAAAGGAACCCTCATACACTGTTGGTGGGAATGCAAACTGGTGCAGCCACTATGGAAAACAGTATGGAGATTTCTCAAAAAATTAAAAATAGAAATACCATATGACCCAGCCATCCCACTACCGGGTATCTGTCCAAAGAACTTGAAATCAGCAATTCCAAAAGTCCCATTCACCCCAATGTTCATTGCAGCATTATTTCCAATAGCCAAGACACGGGAGCAACCTAAGCGCCTATCAACTGATGATTGGATAAAGAAGATATGGTATATATATATACAATGGAATACTACTTGGCCATGAAAAAGGATAAAATTGTCACATTCATAACAACATGGATGGACCTTGAGGGTATTATGTTAAGTGAAATAAGTCAGATAGAGAAAGATGAACTCTGTATGACTCCACTCATAGGTGGAAGTTAAACATATAGACAAAGAGAACTGACTGGTGGTTACCAGGGAAAAGGGGGCTGGGGGGAGGGCACAAAGGGTGAAGTGGTGCACCTACAACATGACTAACAATAACGTACAACTGAAGTTTCACAAGGTTGTAATCTATCATAATCTTAATAAAAAGTTTTTGAAAAAAAAAAAGTAAGAAAACCTAAGTATCCATCAACAAGATGATAATTAAGTAAATTATGGCAAGCTGTGAGCCAGTGGGAGCAGCCTTTCATCTTGTTCTAGGTGCTGCATACTCCCTGTGTCTAGTTCATGACAGTCTCTCACACAAGGTGTTGATGAATAAATGACCACGTCCACGTTTTAGAGGACTTTTCCACACTATTTGAAAGGATCAAGCAAGCCTGCAGTGGGAGGGCATCTGTGCTGCTGACAGAACAAGGCAAGCTGTAGAGTAGCATCCATAATATGATCTCACTTTTGCAAATGAAACATACATATACATAGGTATATATATTTCACAGGAATAAAGGTCATGAAAGATCTATACCAAATTGTTAACAGTTGTTACTCACAGGAAATAAGGCGGGGAAGAGAGGGGACGTTCATTTTCTGACTTAACACCATTCTTCTGTGCAATTTCAGTTCTCTGTTTTCAGTATTTCAGGAAGCATATTTGGAATTCAAATTCTTTTAAGTCCAAAGTAAAAAGAATGGTTCATCCACAAGATGGAGTGCTATACAGGTCATTAAAATCATGCCATGGAAGATTTAATAACGTAGAAAAACACACTCTGCCAAATGAAAAATGTAGGTCTCCACACAGTAAATAATACAGAATGCTCATCATTTTTTATGATATAGATAATATACCTTGCCAAAAAGTCCAGAAAATTGCTATTAAAATGGTAACACTGATTATCTCTGAGTAGTGGGGCTATGACAGCCTCTTTTCCCCCTTTTTCCAAACTTATTAAATTGAATAAACATTATTTTGAATCAGAAAAAAACATTTTTAGGCACACAGAATTATGCATTGGCGAATAATACATGAATACTTACAGAAACAAGTAATTAAGAGATTCTACAGCATTACACAATGTAAAATAGGAAATTCTGATTAAAACATAATTATGTAAAGGATTCACAAAGACAGATCACCTTGCTGTAATAGGAAATGGCCTCCTTATATTTGTCAATTATGTCTTCGGGGCTAAGGCAGTTCTTAGCACGTCCAATTTCAGCGCTGGTGTCAGGATTTATGCCATTGGTGGTGAGGGCACCTGCAAACAGAGAGGAAGAAAAGAAAAAAACTTTTGCTCTTTCTGTCTTATTTCTTTGTTAATTTAAAAGAGGGGCAGAAGTAAGATAAAACTTAAATATTCCCTACTGAAATTTAAATAATGAAACTGTCTTCAAAGTCTTCCCAGCTTATGTCCTCCCTATAATAGCCTTACCATCAAAGCATTGTATTAAATGTTAATTAACTCAGAATAAGCTTTCCTCCCTGCTGAAACGTTTTATTAAAGAACATGAACTACATTATATAAAAGTAAGATGTCTACAAAAACGAGCTTAGTGGTCCTGAAGACAATGCAGTCAGCATGCATTATCTCACTCTCTAAGCTCTTAATGCTAGCAGACCACACTGTCTCCTCAAATGGAGATAAACTATATGAAAGCATTTTCTGAATGGTACAGCACTAAAAAAAATATAGCTTATAAATACTAATATCCTTTCTGTGGCTGTCATTTTCTATTTCTGGCCAACCCCTGTCAATAAGCAGAACCACCTAATTCCCTAGCCATCAAACTCACATGGGGAGAGTTTTGGAGAAATTTCCATTTACAGAATGTAATCAACTACACATAGAACTCTGACACAAAAAAGAGGAAATATCCTTTGATTTCATAGAACACTCAAAAAATATTCTCCTAAGCCTCAGTAGCAGGAGAAGCTGGCCCTCCCCCAAACCACTGTTTATCTCATGGACAGAGAGCATCTCCCACAGATCCCGTTTCCCTCGTGTCTGCTGGAGACTCTGGCACATGTCTGCTGTCAATCTTTATAACTTACAGGGCAGAGGCGCGCCTCTCACACTGCCCACAACGCTCATGCCAGACCATCTCTGCCCTTGCTGTCTAATCTTGGTCCAATCTTCTCACCTGTTTATTTGGTATTCTGTTTCTCTGTAAGCTGCCTCAAATGGTTTTTGGAACAAGACAGAAGAATGAGTGGACAGATAAAAGGATAGATGGACAGGTGAAAGATGAGCAAATGAATGGAGAGACTCTGAGAAAAGGGAACAAAGAAAATTGCCTATGCAAAATCCATTGCCTATGCAAAATCCTCTTCTAGTCAGGGAAGAAAGAACCACAACAGACAACTGTGAAGAGGCAGGTGGCTTAGGATTGTGTTTCCTGCAGATTTTGTGAAAATCACAATGAGAGATGAGAGGGTAGAACTATAAATAATAAAGAAAAAGGGCATGCTTAAAAAAATATTCACTTTCTAAAGAAGAGATTCAAATCATCAAGGCCCAATGACACAATCCTTGGGTACTTACAGAGTCGAGAACTCCATCTCCAAGCATCCCTTTGAAGCAGAGTTTACGCAAGGCGGCTATAACGCCACCACAGCAACAGCTACATTATTTTGCACTTACAAGGAATCAGAACCTATGCTAAGGACTTCCACACATGGTCTCATTTACAACCACAGCAACGCTATGAGGGGGGTCCTCCTAGTGTGCCCCTTTCTGCAGGTGAGGAAACAAGTGCTAGAGAGGTTAAGTACTCATTCCTATGAGTTCTCAAGACGACAGAGCTGCTTACTCCACAGGAGGATTTGAGCTCAGGTGTGTACTCCCGTGCTTTGCGCGTTTTTCATGTGTTCTAACACATTTATTTCTGGCATGAAGTGATGTTTAATAAATGATAGGTCATCTGGATTTATCTCATTAACTCTAACAATTTGCCTTTATATTGTTGAATTTTACTCTTTTCCCTTGGAGAAAGGAAGGGAAAGACAATGGGGTCAGAATGAGGTGGGTTCTTCTTTCTTCATATGATACTTCATCCAAATAGGACATGATTAGGAAGTCCCCAACCAGGGAGAGGGAGTAAACATTCCGTCTATCTTTTAAAGAAAGGGCACCAGTGATAATGAGGGTTCATTTAATGATTAACTTGACTCCAGTACTGAAGCTGAGGGGAGGGGAAGCCATTTGCAGTGACCCAGAACAATATAATCTGTAGGAAGGTAACAAGAGCAGAGCTCACGAGAGAGCTTAGTGAGTCAGACTAATTTAGTTTTACTCAATAAAATAATTATAAGGTCTAAGGGCTGGCCCAGTGGTGCAGTGGTTAGGTTCGCACGTTCTGCTTCGGCAGCCCAGGGTTCACCAGTTCAGATCCCAGGTGTGGACATGGCACTGCTTGGCAAGCCATGCTGTGGTAGGTGTCCCACATATAAAGTAGAGGAAGATGGGCACGGATGTTAGCTCAGGGCCAGACTTCCTCAGCAAAAAGAGGAGGATTGGCAGCAGTTAGCTCAAGGCTAATCTTCCTCAAAAAAAAAAAATAAATAAATAAGGTCTAAAAATACTAGTGTGCAATAGATTCAATCTTCCTTTTTTTCCTTTGGTGAGAAAGATTTGCCCCAAGCTAACATCTGTTGCCAATCTTCCTCTTTGTTTGCTTGAGGAAGATTAGCCCTGAGCTAACATCAGTTGCCAATCTTCCTCTTTGTTTGCTTGAGGAAGATAAGCCCTGAGATAACATCCATGCCAATCTTCCTCTACTTTGTATGTGGGATGCCACCACAGCATGGCTGATGAGTGCAGTAGGTCTGAACCCGGGAACTGAACCTGCGAACCCAGGCTGCTGATGCACAGTGCACAGAACTTTAACCACTTGGCCATGGGGCTGACCCCAGATTTGATCTTTCTTGACATCTGTAAAGTGTTGACAGCCCATGTGTAACATTATTGTGAGCCAGTGAAAGAAGGAATCATCAAGACCAGAGTCTTGAGTCAACAGACAGGAAAAATCAATGCCACAGGCAGGCTGAGACCCAGGCCAGAGAAAAGGAAAAGAAGAGCCATAGTTAAGAAGTGGGGGAAAAGTTGAAAAAAAAAAAAAAATCACCACAAGGGGTCTTAAGAATCAATCCAACAATCGTTTAATCATTCATTCAAGAGAGAGTTACTGAGCTCCTATCATGTGCAAGATTGTATACACGGCACCAAACTGGAAAGTCAACAGACACAGAGGTAAAACAAAGCAGAAATAAGACGGAATAAAGCAGAGACAAATGAGGAAGAAGAGAGAAAGGCAAAATCATAAAGACAGAAGAGCAACAAGGGCTCAGATAAGGCAGGCACCAGTGTGGGAACGATTCCAGCAAGTACCAACAGGCTGGCACTATACTAGGTCACTCACATCGGCTATCCTATCACAGAACAAAAACCCTGCAACGTGCATACTACTGGCCCCACGCAGCAGAGGAACAGCAAGAAGAACGGTGTAGCCAGTAATCTGATGTTAACTGGGCAAGGATACGATAAACTCCAGCACCTCAAATGACTGGGGCAAACATGGGCCTTTAAACAAACAGCACTGGGATACTGGGACGGCCATTTGGAGAAAGATAAAATCAGACCTACACCTCACACCAAACACAGGAAAAGACTCCAAATGAGTCTAAGATCTAAATGTAAAGCAGAAAACCATAAAAGAAGCTCAATACACATGAGTGAATTCCTCTAAAACCTGGATATAAGAAATTACAGCTCTCTAGCTGTAATTCAAATCCCAATGTAACAAAAAAATTGATAATTTCAATTATGTAAACATACCATAAACAAAGCCAAAACATAAGTAACAACCTGAGAGAAAACATTTGCAACATGCATCACACACATAGTGTGCCATGCACTGTGGAAATGAAGGAGGAAGATCTCCACAAGCTGATATGGACTGACTTCCAGGAGATGCTGGTAAACAAAACAAAACGAGCCAAGTACAGAAGAACAAATGAAATATACTACCTTTTGCACAAGAAACAGAAATAAGAACATCTATCTGTTTATTTTTTTCAACAACAACAACAACAAAAACCCACGGGAGCAAAAAAGCAGGGACAAATGAGATTAGCTACCTCCAAGGGTAGGTGGGAATGAGACGGGAGGATGAGAGGAAGTGGCGCTTCTCTGCGTGTACCTTTTTGTATAGTTTTGACTTTTAGAACCATGTTCACGTTTTATATAGTTAAAAAAACAATCAATAAAGATGGGGAACCCTGTAATGGCATACAAACAGAAACAAATGAGCCTAACTACACTAACTATATTTCAAATAAATATAATTACACCGAGAGGGAGGACTGAAGAACAAATCCGACGAACTTCTGATCGCAGTGCCTTGTGTATTTATCCTCAGTATACAGACAAAAAGAGCCACAAGACAATCCTTGAATTCTACTTAGAGGTTTGTTTTTACAGTGATATTGGTTAGTAATTCTGAAACTACTCTCCATACATGGTAAGGTTGAGAAAATGAGTAAATATATTGATAATCTTAGGAGCTAGATTTTTCACTGTTGGAGGAAGAAGATATAAATATGATACAGGGGAAGACTGGAAAGAGCCCTGGGATTTTAGGTTGGAATTGGAGTTACCAGTATGAATTCTGGATAACAGTATGACTTCTCACAGGTCCTAGAAGCAACGACCCTCAGTAGCAATAAGCATATTTAGTGCCCAGATTTGGGTTTCCAAATACCATTCTCCAATGAAAGGAACTAGAACACCTTAGAGAAATGTCTGATTTCAGAGCTGGGACAGGGAAAACACAAAATGAACCTAAATATTGTGACCCAGGAAGTAAGGAAGTGCTTAAAAAATGATGGGGAATATGTCCAAAGGTTACAGAAGGCAGCTGGAAAGCCTTCCATCAGCCAAATTTAGCCAATGGGCTACAAAAATAGAGAATGATAGCAACGGATTAGAACCCACTGAATAAAATAAGGACCCACAGTCGAAGGAAGGAGGGGGGAAGAAAGTAGGAATGAAGGGAGGGAGAGAGGAAGGAAGAAAGGGAGGGAAAGGGAGGGAGGAAGAAGGGAGGGAGGAAGGAAGGAAGGAAACAGAAAGAGGAAGGAAAGTTCTTCCTTACATTAGGATGCTATAAATGTGCAAGGAATGATGGAGTTAGAAAATCAGCATTTGGCAACCATCATAGTAATAACTGACTGCAGTAAATCTTCAGTGAATGCCAAAAC